AGTCCACCAATCAGAATGAGCTCCAAACATAATCCACCAATTATTATATGTAATTTGGTTTTGCAAACTGAAACTAACAGCCAAATGTGTCCTTAATAAAATTGTGTCTTTCTACCTGCCTGTCTCTGTCTATCTGTCTGTGTACCTTTCAACCTGTCTGTGTCCGTCTGTGTTTGTGTGTATGTGTGTGTGTGTGTGTGTGTGTGTGTGTGTGTGTGTTTGTGTGTGTCTCTGGTTCATGTGTGTGTAAGTTTGTTTGTCTGTATGTGTGTTTGTCTTTGTGTGTGTGTGTGTGTGTGTGTGTGTTTCTATCTATCCATCTGCCGGCACACCTGAACGACACCAGTGTGCCGCGAGTGACAAGTCCAGTTGGGAACCACTGCTTTATACTATATGGACTTTTGACATGTCTGTTCTGCCTGTGATGTTATGAATCCATTGGGGTAGTATCTGTAGTAGAAATAGTAGTAGTAAGTATCTGGTAGCAATCTTTGAGGAACTGCAGAGTCTGTGCTAATTCTCTTCAGGTTCATCACTATGAGTGACCCTCTCTCACATTACACACTGTCATTTGATCTGTTGTTCATATAAGAAATAAAATTTTGATGAGAGCAACTTCAAATAAATATTGTGTATCGGTCAGTCAGTTATATATTTCCCTAAATCCTTTGCCACTCGTACCTGGTGGTACTGAATGAAAAATGAAGAGTATAGCAGACAGACCAGAGGCTTCTACTCTCTCTGGTATTGTACTTAATTATTCATGTCAGCCATGCTAATGTCCACAATGATTGTGGTAATGACTGATTCATTTTATAATTCATGAAGCGCATCCTGAACACAGTGTTTAGTGAAGGTGGTTCAGCTGAACAGAGTGTTATCATATCAGACTCAATGAGGAAGGTTTCACATATATATGTATATGTGTATGTTCTAGTCACAGACATCTGTGTGCGTGTGTGTTTACACTGTATTTAGTTTGACTCTGTGTTTGTTTAATGTTTAATCGTTTTTGTGCCTGAGCCACTTAGCTAAATCAACACCGCCATAATGATAAGCCTACTCAGCCCTCTGTGTGTGTGTGTGTGTGTGTGTGTGTGTGTGTGTGTGTGTGTGTGTGCGTATGCGTGTGTGTGTCTATTAATGCTCCCTTTGTTATAGTTTAATGTCTCTGTTCCACTGTTGTCAGGGAGATTTACCACTGAGCCCTATGGGAAATGTCTGCCCCACACACTCCTGCACACACACACACACACACCTCAGGAGGGCGAGGACACTACCACTGAGTCACTTGTGGTAATGAAACTGATATACAAGGGGTGACATGACTTATACGACCATTCATGCATCCTGTTTATGTAGATGCACATGTACAACCTTGTGTGTGTTTGTGTGTGTGTGTGTGTGTGTGTCTGTGTGTGTGTGTGTCTGTGTGTTTGTGCACATGCTTTACTCCAGCTCCAAGTCAGACACACCATTATGTCCTCAGCCCCATGTCTCTGTGTTCTTGCTCTGCTCTATCCTCAGACTTGCACATTGTGTTTTAGTTCATCTCAGACTGCAGCTCTCTCCTTCAGATCTGAGCAAAACTTAAGTGTTTATTTGGATTTAGAATGTGTGCTGAGACCATCGTATCCAAAATCAAAGCAGATTATAAAGTCCGTAGTCTCTCCTCGCTGAGGCTTTTTTCAAAGGCGAGAGCTCTTTTCCCCTATAATGGAGAAAATCATAGAATAAAATACCACATGCTCTATTTATTTATTTATCTATTGATCATAGAATTGATCAATGCTGCTCAGGATGACTAACCTGGAAGTGATTCTAATGGGCAGCATTATTATTGATCAGCCTGAATACAACACTCACATGTCAGTGTATACACTGTACTGTATTGATTCTGTCCATACTGGTGCGGCCAGTGCAATGTCTGGTGCTGAAAGACCAATCAAAGGAGCAGAGACACCAACCACTGTCCCCGCCTCCAAAGTTTCAAAAGTCAACTTAACGAGTGTTGAGCTCCTCACAGCTTGCGCTGCCGCTGTTGTCCACAAGGAGTTGATATGCTCCCTTGTGAGGATGGTTTTCCACTCACTGAGCAGTTCTATGCACTTTTGTCAAAAGTACACTCATGGTTTTCATGTGCACAAGTTTCGAGGCTAATTAAATGCCATATTCATAAATACATAAATTCCATACATCTGGACATTATAGCAATAAGGGGGGGCTACTGTCTGCCGGGACTGCAGCGTTGGGTGTTGATAAAACATTAATAATTAGTTTAACCCAGTGGTTCTCTACTTGTGGGTATAGGCCCACTGGGCAGCGAAGGTATTGCAATTGGGCCAACAAATCACTGGCAAAACAGTACCATTTTGATAAAAAGATGTAATTGTAAAAAAATAAAAGTAAAAAAGTAAATAATGTTTTTAAATGATTTAAAATGAAATTATCTTTATGAACTTTAATGTTTAAAACCTCCTTTCATAGTTTTTTTTGGTGCCCCCGGACCATATTTCATACCCGTTTGCTATATCAGTCTGATTGTCACATCCATGGCAAAAACTGGAGCATCAAAATGGATAGCTGGTTAACAACAGGCAGAATTAAAAGAGACATGATGAATCTACAAGTGATCTTTGTCCGGTCAAACGAAATAGAAATATTCTGAGCTCACCTTAAATCTCAGTTTAACACCTGGACATACCTGCATGATTTTTTGACATCACTACCAGTTTGGAGTCAGTGAATAAGTGAGTCAGTTTCGACAGTGTGTGATGTGGAAACTTGTGGAAATTACACTGGCAAGTTCCAGTCAAGGACCTCCTTGCTCCTCTCCTCTCTCTGTCTTCCTCCTGTGCTGCCGATGATAGCTGCCTGCTCTTGCTGCTGCTATAGGGAGGGGGGCTGCTTGTCTCAGTCAGCAGCACTATACAAGTGTTTGCCACATTTTAGACTTGTGGCAAACTAAGCTAAAGAGTAATACGGCATACAGACAGTTTTCTTTTTAGCTTGTTTGTAACAATGAGCTGTTAACTGCTGAGCTAGTGTGCTGTGTTTGTGACTGTGGACAGACAGACAGATTAAAATATTGTGTCCAAATGTTGACATTTATGCAGGGGAATAGGTGTATTGATAAAGTTTTGGCTTTTTACTTGGTTTTATTGCACCAACTTACAGTAACTACCAGTGTAGTTCACATCAACTCTGGTAATCTTCAGGTTATTTGTTTCACATCACCGCTCTGCTGTGACGCCCTGTGTGCACGTGTGTGTGTGTGTATGTGCAGTGCTGACACACACACACACACACACACACACAAACAGAGCAGGGGCAGAGAGATTCTGCGAACTAGATGCAGAGTTGGGGAAAAATATGTGGTTTTTTAAAAAACTGATCTGCAGAGATTTTCTCTTAAAAACAATTGGACCTGATTAAAATGGTAAAAACACAATAATGCAGTTTCACGTTTAAAATCTGAGTTTCTCCAAAAGACATAGGATGTCAGAGGGAAAAGAGTAGGCGGCTGTAAATGCTTTAATGTCCAGCTGTTTGGCACAAAACTTAGAGAAAACCCTGTGAAAGGAGTCATTCATGGAGAATTATCACCTACTCCAAATTTCCTCTAAACTCCACTGACTGTTTTAGCATCTTTGAGCTCATTGTTTTGGTTTTTAGGTCCCAAAAACTCGGTTGTCACTGCTGTTGTGAACCTAATTTTTCAACAGCAGCTGTAGACAGCTGTCAGCAGACAGACACAGTCAGAGAGTAGCTGGTGAACATAGTGGAGCATTTAGATGTTTCCCCCAGGAGCTGGTGGAGACCAAACAGAGCTGAAAGAGAGGGAACACTGGACTGAGATTCATCAGGTGACACAAACATGACTCAAGATGTTGCGTGTTGTTATTTCTACCAACTTATAAGAAGCTGTGATTTTTCTGTCATTACTTTTCATGGATGTGGTCAGGTTGATTTAATATAGCTCAATATCACAAATTACAAATTTGCCTTTTACATTCTGTACAGCACGCAACCCTCAATTTACATTAATCAAGGGTTATATTCCCCCAAAAATCCCTTTAAAAGCTATCCATGTATTGTATGTAGGAAAACGTGCATGTGGTCCTTATCCTTCCTGACTGATTCTTCTCTGGTTTTGTGTTTTGCTAGTGTCCTTGTCACTACCGGTAGCATCAGGCGGTACGTGCAGCCCAATCAGGTTGCACAGGTAGTGCAGCTCCTCCAGGAATGGCACGTCAATACATGTGGAGGCAAGAAAGTTTTCTGTGTCTCCCAGCAAAGTCTCAAGAGCATGGAGGAGATAGCAGTAGACCGGCCATTACATGAGGAGAGCTGGACAGGGCCGTAGAAGAGCATCAACCCAGCAGCAGGACCAGTACCTGCTGTGCTGTTTTGTGTGAGGAGGAATTGGAGGAGCAATGCCAGAGCCCTACAAAATGACCTCCAGCAGGCTATGTTGTGTGCATGTTTCTGACCAACTGTCAGAAACAGACTCCATGAGGGTGCCATGAGGGCCTGACCTCCTCTAATGGGACCTGTGCTCACAGCCCAGCACCGTGCAGCTTGATTGGCATTCGCCAGAGAACCCTTGGCACTTGAACCAATTGGCAGGTCTGCCATTGGCAGTGGGTCAGTGATGATCTGGGGAGGCATAGATCTCGCACAGACCTCCATGTCATAGCCATCAGTACCCTAACTGCTGTTAGGTACCAGGATGAAATCTTCAGAGCGATTGTCAGATCTTGTGTGTGTGTGTGTGTGTGTGTGTGTGTGTGTGTATGTATGCATATATATTTATCTATTTCAGCCTCCCTCTCTGTTTATCTCTTTGTCTGTTTCTTAGAGATACCAAACAGGGAGATGAGGAAGACCCATCTGATGACGAGTGAATGAAAGGAGGACACACTTAGGAGGAGTGAGAAGCAGAGGAGGAAAGAAATATATCCAGCAGAGGAGAACAAAAGGAGAGAGAAGTAGCAGTTGAAGGAGGGAGGGAAAGATGTGAGGAGCTCTGTCAGAGAGGAGAGACGGAGGTGAGACAGAAATAGGAAGCACTACACACAGATCTTAAACAGACAGACTTGACTGAAAGTGAAAGAGAAGACAAAGAAGCTGGACGGAAAAACAAGGGACTGGTGGAGGGAGGAAATAAACATCTGGATGGTCTCCACAGTGACGGCCAGCAGGTCACCCCCCCCCCGAAGATGGCCTCCAACTTCAGCGACATTGTCAAACAAGGCTACGTACGCATGCGCAGCCGCAAGCTTGGGGTGAGTGCGTCCACGTGTGTGTGTGTGTGTGTGTGTTGTCTCTCCACTGATGCTTTAATCACATGCAATCTGTTTTCTGTATATATCTTTTGCCTCTGTTGTTTGTTAACTAGAAAGAAAATGTGTGCGCACATACTCACCAGTGGCGATTGCTCTAAGACTGCAAGGGAAGCTCAGCTTCCCCTAAAATGTCAACAAAATAAGTGGTTAAATATGTACTGTTGTGTGTACATTTCATTGACTAAATATGCGCTAGAACACGTTCATCTTTTTTTCAGAATCAGCTACTTATCACAGGTAACCAACACGACTTCCTTCTCATTCATTCCCGCAGCGCCACAGTGCTTTACACAGTGTAGATGCCGAGCGTCTACTGACTTCAATGGGGAACCATAGAATGGGTTGTTCCACTGCAGCGAAAGTAGACGGTCATTGAATAAATGCTGGGCTTTGTCCCGCCCATCGGATGCTCAGCGTTTCTGGGGGTCTATGGGGCAGTGGGCTGGCCCAGACGCTCAGCTTCTGCATGATGATTGGATGATCTGTCTGAGGCTGAGTCCCTTTTTGATTGACAGCGAAATGAGTGAATCAGCGATCTTGAAGTATAAGCATCCACCGGAGCATTTTTCAAGTTTTTCATTCCGTTGTTCGGAGTTGATCTGGAGACGTTACTGATCCTCAGCGACTTTGTCTTTGTTAACGACTAGCGTTGTGTTTAGCGACTCTCTTCTGTCACCCTGCGAATTTACATATAAATAAATGGACACATTTTATGATGTAGGCTGAAAATGAGCTTCCCCTCCTTATAAGACCAGCAGCCACCACTGATACTCACCCACAGTATCTTCTCTTTTTCTCTATGCTGCCTGAAAGCTGCTTCCACCTGTCCCAGTGTACTAGTTAAACACACAAAAGTGTGATCTTAAACCTGATTGGATGGATGACAGTGTTTGGGGTTGGGGTCAAATTTGAACCCAGTCCTGGGACTGGTTTCGCAAAGATAGACTTTGTCTGTGTCTTAGATATAAAAAATAGTCAGGCTTCAGATAGACTGAGTCTAAATTCAACCATTGCACAGAGCAGTTGTTGTCTATCTTAAGCTGGACTGTGGTACAATGAATTCTGGGTAAATTAAGACAATTTTTGTCTATTGAAAGACTGCAACAGTTACAAGGGCAGTTACAAGGGCGTTTACAGTCGCTGCAGTCTCTTAAAACTCTTTCTCTTCTTATCACTCTCTCCATAACAATGTTAGCAAACCACAAAGTATTAGCCATGTTTTCCTGTTTTAAGTTGTTGGGTGCTACTGGTCAGTGCAGGCCACATTGATTGTTAACATGGTAACACTGGTCTTAGGCCTGAGTTAGTCCGGGGGTAAGGTGTCTAATGTTTTTGTCTTAAAATGACTCTTTAGCTTTGTGAAACAGTCTGACTAACATTAGACTGATCTATGAGCCTAACACTACAGACCAGTCTGACATGTCTTTGTGAAACCGGCCCCTTGACCACACATGCTACATACTGTCATGTGCAACGCGAATGACAGGCAGGGCAGTAGAGAGACTGGTGCAAAAGGACGAGTATCCACCAGGATTTTTCCCTGGTGGCCAGTTCGACCCTGAAGTTGTACCTGGGTGGTGCAGGTGTAGTATGCTGGTGGTGAGCATTAATATAAACAGGTAATAAAAATATGTGTAACTTAAATTCAGCTGGTTGGTGGGATTGCTGACAGAAGTAATCCCACTCTGTGTTGTTGTAAGTTTCTCTTTATTATTATTTTACTTCCGACCCATTTTTTGGCCCGCTACCAGTCCCACAAAGTTTGTTGTAGAAACTCCATTCAAACGTCAAAGCATGTGTGTTGATCAGGAAATTCTGGATAGTACTTTTCTCAGCGATATGTCTAATAATTTCTGAAATATTAATCTTTTTGTTGGACCTTTTTACAATGGAAGTCAATGGAGAGAAAGTTCAAATCCCTGAAACCTTTCTCCTCTTTGAAACTCAACTATTCCGCGATACTTTTAGCTAGTCTCTAGCTAAAAGTATCTCATTTAATTTTTAAACAGGAATTTGAACTTAAACTCGTCCCACAAATTTCACTCTATGCTCATCATTATTTCACCACCTAGACAAACTTGTTGTCTTCAGACAATGTGACTAACAAAGCACAGAGACTCACAGAATTTGAACTGCACCCTTGTGAAATATGTTTCAGTCCTCTTTTAATCAGGAAATATTTGGCAGTTAATTTCATTTTTTCATGCTAACTGATACGAAAACACAAATACAGACAGGTAGAAAAGCAGAGAGGCATACAGACAGGTAGAAAAGCAGAGAGGCATACAGACAGGTAGATAAGAAGAGAGGCACACAGGTAGACACAGGTAGACAGAAAGAGAGGAAAATAGAGAGACAGGCAGACAAGCAGACAGGTAGACACACAGACAGGCAGGCAGGCAGATAGACACAGTTATATTCGGGAAACATTCAGCAGTTAATTTCAGTTTGTCATTCTAACTGACTCCTGTGATGGAAATCTGAAAATGAACAGTAGACAAAATGATCAAGTTGCCTTTGTATATTTTAATAAGAGATTTGCAAAGTGTACAGTCACACAGAGTGCAACTGCAGACTGATATCAAACAAAGAGTGTACATGAACTTTATAGAAAAAAAGAAAGAAGGAGGCATGGTCAGGATGTGTGTGTGTAAACAATTCTGGGTGCCATCCTGACTGTCTAACTGCCGGAAGAAGCAGGTGTGTGTTCAAAGATAAACTACTCCCTAGTTTGTACCGGACAGTACCAGATTAGGAGCATACATGTGCACTAAAGCATGAACTGATTAGACTTTGCGGACCAAATGTCAAAGCTCAAAGATGTGGTGACCTCACAAAATGCGGTTTGGGTGTTCAGAACGCAATATCTCCGTAATGCCTTGAGGAAATTTCTTCAAATTTGGCACAACTGTTCACTTGGACACAAGGATTAAGTGACTGGATTTTGGCGTCAAATATCAAAGGTGTGGTGACCTCACAAAATGCGGTTTTGGTGTTCAGAACGCAATATCTCCGTAATGCCTTAAGGAAATTTCTTCACATTTGGCACAAATGTTCACTTGGACTCAAGGACAGCCTGATTCGATTTTGGAGGTCAACGGTCAAAGGACAAGGTCACGTTACCAAACAAATCATGATTTTGGCCTCTTCAATGTAATATCTCTAGATCTCCTCAAGGGAATCCCGTCAAATTTCACATGAATGTCCACTTGGACTCATAGATGAAGTGATTAGACTTTGCTGGTCAAAGTTCAAGGTCACGGTGACCTTAGAATACATGTTTTAGCACTTATGACAGAATTTCTCAAAAATTGTTAATATTTTATATGATTCTGGATAAACAGGGATGTATTCTGACACTAGCCTGAGTGGAGGAGGCATACAACCATGAGGCAGTACTTCTAGATATTTTCTAGTCGTTACGCCTCAACACAAAGTTAGTTACAGCTCCATTTTAATTGTTATTTGCAGGCATTTAACAATGAAGCTCAGCGTCAGATTTTTGTCAGCAGCCAGCATTGCAGTTTAGCTTCAGCTTGGGCAGAACCAGCAATCCCACGACAATTTTTCCAGAAATTTAGTTTAGTTTAATACTCGAGATCATCCTTTTACATTCCTTCATTGTAAACTACTACTGCATACTCTCTGTGGTTCAGTTTTTTCAGCTTCCTCAGCATTGCTTCAGCAGTTGCTTCAGCTACTTAAGCATTGCTTTAGCATTATCATTCAGCCCTCAGCATTCACACACATTTTCAGCAGGAAATGCATTTTCTAGTTATGTGCCTGCAATGCAATAGCATTGAAGGCATATATTATCATCCTGCATACATATTCATCTTATTCCGTATCGAAATTCTGGTGTGTAACTAGTCCTGCAGCTTTGAAAAACCCAGAGAATATATATATATCAATGTGTGCGGCTCGATCGGGAATGGTGTGCTAAAACTTTTCATAGCGATTCGAGTAACAAATGTAAATGGCAATAAAGGGTGAAAACATTCCTGTAAAGAATGAATGTGGAGAAGTCTTCAAAACGACCAAACCCAGCCCTCTTTGGAGCTCTACGGCTGAGTCATACTTCAACATAGAAAATTGGTTGAAATGTTAAACGAGTCACAAGACTTGAGACTCTTTTGGGTTAAATCAGTATTTTGAGAACTATTACGGTTTGCACAAAATCACAGTCGACATTTTGTGTTATTTTTAGAACATTTCAGACTTTATAATGGGTGTGTATTGCACGGAATGTCAGAGATGTGGATGTGGATGACATTATCGCTAGAATGGGAAAAGCTCTAGAACTCTGAAAAAATTCTGTGTAACTCGTCCTCTTGGCCACATATTTCAGTCTTCACCAAACATCATGGCTTCCTCAGTAGCAGACAAATTTGTGCTATTTCATAAAAAGTGTCTACCTAAGCACAGAGACTTACAGAATTTGAAAAGTGAGCCTCAACGTCATGAATTGACTGCAATACAAATTCAGTAACTGATTTCCCCAAAAATGAAGAAGTGACCTTTTTTGTAAGTCCCTCCTGTGTCCATACTTATGGCTCTAGAAACACCAAAGCCACATAATCTGTGCACAAAGGTTTTGTGCCAGTCATGGTGTCGTGGGAATTTCAGGAAACAGGACTGACAACAGGAGAGTGGTCTTTCCAGTTTATTCTGACAATTGCAAGTGGACGCCTCAGCCAACAACAGAGAGTGTTACTGACCAAGAGCGCAATGCATGTTTACTACAGTCTGCTTTTATACACTCATACACGGTATAATTGTCGGGATACCTGTAGTAAATATGCCATTACTCTTGACATGACTACCTTGTATGGCACTGAGCCAAGTTAAAAGTAGAGATGAACAGAAAAATGAGAATGCACATACAGCAGTGTAGGCGCCACAAGTTCTGTGTCCATGATATAAATAGAGTTTTTATGACC